GAGGGTGCCGTGACAGACTGTCTCAGGTTTGCAAGGGGGTTGGGAGAGTATAATGCTTGAGAAGCACCAGGCGCCCTTCCAACATAATGCTTCTCCATCCAATGGTTCCAATCCGTCTCCTCAGGTGGAGCTGAAATTCACTGCTGGTTCGTGGCCAGGCCCTCAGGCAAGGTCGCAGGAGAAGATGCCGAGAGCACTGGCATCAGGTTGGCGTGCATGCGTGTGGCCGTCCACGCAGCTATCTCGGCTGTGTCTTGGCATCGCTCGGACGTGTGAATTTTTTCTCGGCGAGGACCATCGAAGAGCATCCTGGATCATCGAGCAAGAACATACGCACAAAACCGAAAAACGCACAGGGAAGGGACGTCCGAGCGACGGCAAGGTGTCGGTTGCCGATGAAAACGAGTGAGCCGATTAGCAGCAGCAGCAGCAGCAGCAGCAGCAGCAGCAGCAGCAGCTAGTTGTTGTCGGAGTGGTCCTGAGGGATCCTGGCCCTGGTCAGTCAAAGCATTGCACACCCTGCGCCACCAGCAAGCAAGGAGCGACAGCCTAGGGAATCTGGGAGGGGAAGGGGTAGAGGGCTTCTCCTGGACGACCAGCAAGGTTCGCACAGTCCTGGCCAGAAGCTCGGGAAGCAAAGCCACTCAGCTCCAGCGGTCCTCATGAAGGCTTCCCACCTATCCTGGATGAAGAGTTCAGCTACTACAGTGCCGTTTTTTATACATGCTCCGCGTGCGGATCATGTATAACAAATGCAGGGATTTAGTATTCAAAACAACGATGAGTTCATGTATAAACTTTTTCATAAAGTTCTCATGTAAGAAAAATCCTATATGTCTAAAAATCCTATGTATTAGAAATTGCCCTGTAACGTGACCCCAGGGAGCAGCCACCGGCGGAGGGCCTTTCCCGTGCGCACCTCAGAGGGGAACCTCTGGGGAACCTTAACGTACCTAGCCTGACCAAACATTCGACCTTAACGCACCTAGCCTTAATGCACCTGGCCTTGACGTGCCTAGCCTCAGCGTGCCTAGCCGGAGCCTTAACACACCTAGCCTTAACGTACTTAGCCAAACGTATTTAGCCTGACAAATCGGTACAGAGGCGCCTCCCCGGAAAGTGGGGTGAGATGGACACATTCTGAACGATTTCCGCCTTGGCATGACTTGCAGGCGAGCGTGAGACCTCATAGCAGGTCGACGGGTACCATGTATCCATGGCGTCGAACGAACCTGTCTCCTCCTCCGCCTCCTTCTCCTCCTTATCCTCCTCCTCCTCCTCCTCCTCCTCCTCCTCCTCTTCCTCCCCCTCCCCCTCACCCTCTCCCTTCTCCTCCCCTCCTCCTCCTCCTCCTCCTCCTCCTCCTCCTCTTGCTCCTCCCCCTCCTCCTCCTTATCCTCTCCCTCCCCATCCTCAATCTGTGAACTCCTCCTCCTCCTCCTTTTCCTCTTCCTCCTCCTCCTCCTCATCCTCCTCCTCTCTCTCCTCCCTGTTGCCCGTGTCCAGGTCGCGGAGGCCAAGAAGCTGCGCCGGGAAGCTGGCGCGTTCGAGGAAGCTGGTGCCACGTGCTTCGTTTGTGAATATTGCAGATCCCTTCTTGGGAGGGCCGATCGGCCGACCGATCGGGCGCAGCACGAGAGGAGGGAATCAGGGGAAGAGGCAGATATGAGGAGATGGAGGAGGAGGAGGAGGAAGAGAAGGAGGAGGAGGAGGACGAGGAGGACGAGGAAGATGAGTATTCTGATGATGCTGATGATGCTGATGATGAGGAGGAAGAGGAGACATGCTGATGATGATGACGATGTTGATGCTGATGATGATGAC